ACTCACACACACTGACATGCTAACATCCTCCTTGACTCACACACACTGACATGCTAACATCCTCCTTGACTCACACACACTGACATGCTAACATCCTCCTTGACTCACACACACTGACATGCTAGCATCCTCCTTGACTCACACACACTGACACATTAACAACCTTTATGACCCACGCACAAAACTAACACTCTAACAGCCAAATTATTGTAAACAAGAAGCCAGTGTTACATATTTTTGCTGGCGAGTTCATTTCCAAGTGCATCACTCCCAGAGCAACAGTCCGGTCAATGTATCTTTGGAAAGGTGAGGGGGGTCACCAGCTTAGTCTCTGTAGACAGTAATGCAACCATGCCAGGTCCTTTTTTAAATCAATGTGTGACAGGGAAGGTCAGGTCCCATGATAGGAAAACACTCTATTCCACAGCAAACAGGTTCATCTAAAAAGAGCAACTAAAGGTAGTCTTTTCTATTAAAGGTGCAGTGGTGCTTTGTCAGAGCTCATAAAAGTGGCAGTAATTTATTAAAATATTACTTCCTCCTACACTTTGGGGATCTAGCTAAGGGATTTCACATTAGCAGTAAATGAGATCCTGAACAAATCGTGCAAAAGAGAATATCAATAACAATGTTTAATGAAGAAGGCACATTTTCTTTTAGATGGTGAATTAGTGAGATATATTTACCCAGATATAGATGCCTAGTTTGTTCACCCAAAAATCACAGTTTTGAAATATATTATACCAATATTAAGCTAATTAACTAAAAATTATATGAATTCTTAGAAAACTGAGACGGAAAAGGAGAAGGTGTATCTATGCTGGAACTGAATCAATGAAATGAAAGGAACTTAACAGAGGAAGGTGGAGAAGACAATGCAGAGGAAGCAAAGGGCTCAGAAATCGTTAAGGATGAACTCGTATTCCTGCTGTCAGGGAGGCGGCCTGTGGTTTTATGTAGAGACTACAGTAACACGCCATGGAGCAGCACTACTGGCCGGTCTCTTCCACTCTCTGGAAAGAGTTATGCTTTATATTCTGAGGTGGCTGTTGGATAAAGGAGGTGTAGGAGGTGAAGGAGCTTTTGTATTGTGTAAGCACCTCGGAGCTGAAATAAAACTATTGTTGATTACTTATAGTCAGGATATTTTTCGACCGGATGTTCTCCCAGAGTTTCTGTGCAACAAGGACACAGACATTTGGCATGACAGTCGGGGAAGGAACAGCGCCTTTTTAATGCTCAGTGAAGATAAACAGGAAATGTGAAAGACTGTAGGGGATACTGATTACAGGAAGAGTATGGCTTTGAAGTATTGTAGGCATAATTTTTATTTATTACATTATTTGGAATGTTAATGAAATCGTGTTCTGCTGGAACGTTTTTTGAATGAATCCTGCCACCCAGCAGAACCATCCCAAGTCCAGTTCATCTAATTAGAAGCGATGTCTGTTTTGTCGAAGAGTAGATAGACATTCATTAGGTGTGGTGGGTTAAGGAGTAGAAGAAATTTATCCCATAGCAAATGTATAATCCCTGCTGTTGCAAAGAGTGTCCTTTACAGCATCCATGTCCATTGGGAGTCTGCTGAAGGCCTGGCTAGCCTCACAAAACTGTTTCATTGCCATTGTTGCGGTGAAAGCCATTAGTCCAAGGTGACAGAGTTATGGGCAGGATCTTGCGCAAATGTAATTCTCTGCTGGTCCATTAACGGTGGGCTTGTCTGCCTGACAGTGTACAGAGACTGATATGTTAGCTTCTCAGAGGTGACACTCCTGGGATAGTGGACACATTAATGTTAGCAATGTTTGTGATCAGTTACTCAGCCCCCCCATCACCTTCACCTTCTGAGGGGAGGGGAAGCATCTGTGGTGCTGGAGGACTGTAAAGTTTTACTTCGAATGACTCCTGGTGACTCAGCTTGTATAGAGAGTGGGTGGAGGTGGAGGGAAATAATTGCTTACTTTCAGACAAAGTAAGCTAATTCAGTCCTCAGGCTGTTTGTTTCAAAGGAGAACGTGTCAAGTGACATCAGTATTAAGAACACAGCCCTCTAACCTGAAGGTTGCTGGTTCAAGCCTCAGAAGGGTTCTTTGCTGTAGTACCTTCGAGCAAGGTGTTTAATCTGAATCTCTCCATTAAAATGCCCAGCTGGTTGAAGCTGAACCTGCATCAAATTTAAATGTCATTTTAAGAAGTAATGGACCTGTAGACAAAATTATATTTCTAATTGAAACATAATGGACAGAGTTCCAATACTATATTTTGAGGTACTGAATGTGCATCTGTCATGATCAGGGTTTTATTTTCAGGACCAGTGGAAAGTGAGTAATGTTAAAATGGTTGGCGTTTTTCATGAGCAGGCATGTCGGGCCCACACGGATTTATTGTTCACTCACTCAATGTCATGAGGTCCTTTTGTTCACATTATTTGTACCTCCCAGTCAATAGCCCTGCTGCTTTTCTCCAGAGGTCTTTGTCGGAGATGAGCTCACGGTGAGGTCAGAGTTACTTTCTGCCAGTCTTGCACCGTGATTTCGGGTCACTCTTACCTCGGGGATTTCAAGTTTGAGCTGTTCGGCATTCTGTTCCAGCCTTATTAAACATGGCCGTCATTCTCAGTCAGGGACCTCAGCGTGTGTCTGTGCTCCACTTGCCATTGATCCACTTTTCAGAATTCAGAGAATTGGCTCCCCGTCTCAAGGTTCCATCATTGCATTCGTGGACCCGGCACCCCTCTTATTCCGGCCTGCCTTTGTTATTTTTGTCAGCCGAAGCCGGGACAAGATGTCTGAAGAGAACTGGACGGCATCCATGACACGGTTGTCAGGGACACACAGCAACTTTGATGATTTTGATGTTTGAAAGTGTACAAAAAAGTGATGAAACTACCAGCTAAAAGCTTTTGCACACACTTGAGATTTTCTACATTTGCATGTTACCCACTTAACATTTACTAAAAATATGTTCGATATTCTTTGCTAACAAATACATTTACAGTATGTTCTCCATTTGAGTACCTTTATTGGCAAGAAAATGTAATATCTTTCATTCATTAAAGTAACAGAGAGAAAATTTGAGGCATTCTTTCTGCAAAGGAGATTAAATACTGCTGTGGTTCATGGGATGAAACAATTAACTAGTGCATTTAAAGTTAAAGGACAGCCTAGAATTGACTATGCCATCACCACACAACCAGTTAATAGAATGTCAGACATGCACTGTTACATACTCTTTCCATGTTATAAAGGAAACCTGTTTTATTTGACTTATATTTTCATTTATATTGTTCACTCAATTTTCCAGTGCTTAACAAGAATTTAAAAAATCTGCAGTTTATGAAATAAATGGCAAAGTGGTAAAAAACTGTGGTGTACAAACACTTTTGACTGGTAGTGTATATAGACAAGTAGGAAGAAGCAGCGTTTAAATAAACAGGGATGCGTATAGCTTTAAATAAAGCCGTGTTATTTTCTGGTGATATGTCGAATATTACGTACCAGTATGTTCGTGTAATGTGTCCTGTTTTGTCAATACTTTTTTGGATCTTGTGAATCTCTGTATTGTTTTACCTTGGCTTTCTTATTACAGGATGAGAACAGATTTTTGTTTTGATGCAAAAAGTAGTTACCCTAACCTGCTTGATATCGCTGACTAAAGGTGGAATGTAAGCCTTTTACAGTATGAGTTCCTGAAGTAATTGCAGGACATTCTTCTGCTGCTGATTCTGTGTTCCTATGTGCAGCAGTATTTCTTTATCTCATTTTAGCTGGTACTGCTTTATCAGTCATCAGGGGCTTTTGTAACCGTTTTTTTCAATATTGATTTAATCTGGGTGTCCCACAGCGTCTAGCACTGGGTCCCACTCTCTTTTCATGCACCGCCACTTCACCCTGAAGATATTCAGGGAAGTTGGCTGGATTCTTTCACTTTTATAACTCACAATAAATTCAGAGAATCTCCCAGATGTGAATTTTACGGAATGTAAACTCAACTCTTTTATACCTCAAGTATGGCAAGGATCTTAAGTATTTTATTAGCGGTGCAATGCAACAGCAACCCAGTGCCGATTTATAATCTGTTGCTGAAAAATAATGTGAAAATTCAGCAAAAAAGTAAGAATATACTGTAGGTTATACTATAAAAACTTTTAAGTAGAACTCTAATGTTTGAGAAATGGTTGGAACAGTTGCTCTTCCTGGAGAATGGTCTGTTCTGAAAACAGAAAATGATACAAAGTGATTTCTGCCACGCCAGTCTTTTATCTTAAATACATATATGCGCTTGAAAGGAATCCCCAGCTGGATTTTAATTAATGAATAGACCGACTGGCATTATTCAAAGCAGCATAGTACACATTTTCAAAGACACAATAGATGTCTGGTGTTTTCATTTATGTTTCAGTGCAGAAGCTTAGAATGAAAGTAGCGTTGCTTCGTTTAGGGCCGTGAACTGTGTCTGCCTGGCATGCTGAGGCGTACAGCCAGATCCCGTGGATCCTTCTCCTTCGTTGTGTCATGAAAAATGGATCTGAAAACCCCAGACTTTCTCTGCAAAGGCCTCATGTATCTACCAGTCCAGTCTCCCAGTCTGAGCTGGCTCTCCTTCTCTTGCAAATTAGTACCGTGAAGGCACCTCCTCGTGTCACGATGTGTCTGTAAATTACCTGATCAGTTCCTTTCTTCCAGTATTAAATAGCATACCTGAAGCGGGAGGAAAAAATAGAATTCTTTATCTTTGGTATTCAGATAAAGGTATAGATTTTTTTTTCTTTTCACTGCAGTTTCAGAGAGGGCAGTGATTGGCTGGCAGGGTATGGAAGGCAGCTGCTTATTTCCTGTTGATACTTTTTAATGCCAGCCTAAGGAAATGGGATAACTACTGTTCACTATTCATCCATTTTTGCTCTTTTCAATGTGGAGCTTTCTTTGGACCTCTAAACACGTGGATTTATTACTCTGCTTGCTATTCATTGCAGTTGTACTGGGCATACACTTATTGTATTTCAAAGCATATTTAATATGAATATAATACAGGCTGCCATATGATTATAATGCTTCAAGGCTAAAATTGAAAATCTTTTTTTTTTTTTTGCGTGATTATTTTCTTTATTTTAGCCTTGTAGATACTTTCTGTCCTTTACAATATTTCGTGTCCAGTGTTTGATTGAACCATCCAGCTGTGTCTGTGCTCTGGGAGAGCAGGGTGCAGAGAACGCCTTGAGGTGGTTCTCTTCCTCCCCATCCTGCTAACCAGTCGCTTTGCATACTTGCAGGTCTTCGTCAACTTTGCCCAGCACCAGCACGAGGAGGAAGAGGACCGGTTCGCCTACAGCAACCCCGTAGAGGTGACGTCAGAGGAAATGCCAATGAAAAGCATGGAATCCCCACTGCCTGCAGTGCAGGGTTGAAGCCGAAGGGTGCTCACCCTGCGTTAGCTATCCTCACAATGATATCAAGGCTTTGATATCATTTTTACATATAAAAATTTTATGTAGTGTAATATTGCTTAATCATGCATCCATCCATCCATCCATACACCATAGGGGGGCCCCCGGGTCAGTTGCAGGCCACATTTCGCACAAGCCTGGGCTACACCCTGGAAGGGATGTTGCTAGATCATGAAATATCAAAATAATCTATGCTAGTTCTTATCATTGCCACAAAGTTTGCTCCATGTTAAGAAGTCAGTGACGTGTACAGCGCACGGCGTTACTGTGAATGACAGACATTGGCCAAAATAAATAAGGTGAAGAGAACGTACAGATTTGGACAGGGGCTGTGGGCTACTCTACAATCGGCACAGTCGGCTGCCTGTCGCGCTCAGTCGGCTCGGCTCGCCTTTTCTGTACCGCCATCCATGGCCTGCGGGGGCACCGGTGAGACGCGTCCCTGATGCTTCTGTCTGAGTGACGCACACCAAAAATACAGCGGCCTTTAATAAAGCCGTAAGGCGGATGCTCACGGAAGGCACCGGCTGTCGTTATGGCGACGGCTGACTTCACCACCTTCTCCTGTGAGATTATAACCCCCAGCATTGTGTGCTATTAGGGAGAAATAAAGTCCATTCAGCGCGAGTGTCATTAACTCAGGAAGAAAATAAAAAGCATTTTACTCTGCACTAAAATGCTCTTAGGTAAATACCTTTAGGTGAAGGGTTTATTAAAGACTTGAAAAAAAAACATGTGCCTCTTGAACATTTGACTGAAATTTAGGGTTTTAACATTTTTTTTAGAACATGAAGTTACCTTAATTTTAATACCTGCAATTATTTTTACATGTAACCTATGCACAATTAAATGAAATTAATATATTTGTTGTGTATATTTATTGACTTAAATGTAAACTGAGTATACACAAGCAGAAATATTGGAAAGTAAAATATATTTTTTATGTTTACATTATGATGTCAGGGATTCTGCCTTAACTATCTGTAAATTTGTTATGCTGTGTTAGTCTGTAACACCTTTTGGTCAGAGTGATGCTCCTTTGATGTGCTCATATTAAGGTGCCAGGTTTCATTTCTCATTCTAATTCATTCCGCATTCTGTCCGATCCTTTGAAGGAAAAAAATGGTAAATTATATTTGTCCTGAATATTGCTTCACGTCCCTGCAAGATGATTAAACGTTTGCACATATCGTCGTTTGCATCTGAGATTAATTTTGAGATCTTCTGCAGTGTTTGTTCCCCAATGGTCCCAACTCTAACCTGACAGAACATCATTCTTTGAGGTCCGAGATTTTGGGCTGCTGGTCAGCTGACCTGCACATCTACACTACGCTGGCATTTACAGCTAATAGTCACGCAGCAGGAATAATAAAATTAGCAGACAAATGAAGTCCATAACACTTGGTAAAAAAAAAAATTGCATATCACATGCTGTGCGTTGTGTTTGCATAATACTAACCCAGTAAAGCTATAAATCATGACCAGAAAGAGTTTCGTAAACACAGCATAAAAAATTTTTTTTCTTCCTTTCTCCAGCTTTCCAAGGTTAAAAAAAAAACAGATACAATTTGTAAAATCTATTTACCTGTCTTGACGTTATATTTGAATTCTATCTACTACAAATGCATGAATGACTATCAGCTGAACATAACAGTACAAAACTCATGATGTTACTACCATGTAGTCAATAATATTCATTGACATGTTTTCACTGAAACCCAACTATCTTCTAACCACTTATACCGATCAGGGTCAGGAAGAGTCAGGAACATAGGAATTGATATAGTTCAGTATTTCTCTATCCAGACCTCAGGGACCCCCAGACAGTCCACATTTTTGCTCCCACTCAATTTCTAACACACCGGAACCAGGCATTCAGTGTTTTTGATTGGCTGGGAACTAGGAGGGAGCAAAAATGTGGCCTACCGGGGTCCCAGAGGACTATGTTGCGAACCACTGATCTAGTCTTTCAACAGCAAGAGCAACGACAACAAAAATTTCAATTTATCTGGTTCACTTAGTCAAAAATATCAGTTGCTGTTCCAGCAGAGTAATGGGGCAGAGGCTGGCACTTGGGACGGATCTGTGAAAATCCCCACTACACTAGTGTGCATCCCAAACACCTTGCTGAAGTTGTCAGGATGAAAGCATATCAGTGTGATGCTATCCGCTCCAACCTCTGCATCTAGCACAGCTACATGTCACCTCCCATTTCACCTTTGAGTCCTCAACAGCTACAGCAGGAAGGGGATCACAGCAGCCCGGCATTGTCCACCGCCACTGCTCTGCTTCTGGTGTCTGTGATGTCTCCTCCTTGCCCTAAGCAGCTTCTGGATCGATACCAGTGCAGCAAAGACTGCCACTGGGAAACACGGTTCCTTCAGTCTTCAGTGGACAGAGGCTTTTTCTGACTGAAATGGATATTCAGCTGGCATGCCATAGAACGGCCAACTTACCAGGCACTGTTTGGGTCATAATGGCCAGACTTATCCACGCTCCAATCTAAAAAAGGGGGGAGGACATGCAGGTGATAAATTAGAGAAATGTACCATCATCGTAAATAACGATGGTGCTGTCAGCAGTGGACGAAAACACTGTGACTGGAGGGTGTTATGTGCCTCCTAGATGACTGATAAAAGCCCATTGAATATGTGTTGAATATTTGCTGAAAGCCTGTTGTAGGCCCGCTAGAGGCTTGTTAGATACCCATTGAAGACCTTGTTTAAAGCCTCTTTAATGCTTGTATGGTGCCCATTAAAAGATCTGCTGAAAGACTTCTGAGCACCTGTGGAAGACCTGTAAAAAGCCTGCTGAAGACCTGCTGAAGGTCATCCGGAGACCTGCTGAAAGCGTGTTGAAGACTTGTTGAAAATATACTGAAGGCCAACTGAAGTCTTGCTGGGAGCATGAATTCAATTTTGGGTAACACTTTACTTGAGGAGGGACAAATACCTTAGTTACTCAGTTACTACTCAAGAAAAAATCATGAACTAATATAGTTCCTGCAAGAAATACATGAACTGCCATGAATGATTAATGATGAACGAACATGGGATCAGTACGTAACACTTAGTTACTGGTTAATTAATGCATTAAATAAGCGTATTGGATTTTGCTATCAAATTGCTTTGTAACATTGAAGTTCCAGCTTGTGTGGCCTGCTGTAATCAAGCAAGTGATAGTAATGTAACTGGGAAACCACCCAGCCCTCATTCCCTATTGATACTAAAAGTCAAGGTGCTAGACTATGCAAATCAAAGTAGTATGATCAAGGAACCGAGTCGTTCATCACCATCTTTTGGTTCCTGCTCTCTTATCTTGTGTTCCTGCCTGGCTGTGATCAAACATAATCAATTGCCTTAGACCAGGGGTGTCAAACTCCATTCCTGGAGGGCCGGAGTCCTGTGTAGCTTAGTTCTGTCCTTGTTCCACCACAAATGATTCAGCTCAAGAGCTGTGTAGTAATTAGCACAAGGAGATGAATCAGGTGTGTTAAATGAGTGGAAACCCAAAAATGTGCAGGGCTCTGGCCCTCCAGGACTGGAGTTTGACACCTCTGCCTTAGACTCTGTAAAAAGGCTGGTATCATGCACAAGTTAGGAGAGGAAGGTTGTGACGGCTGTGCGGAACAACATATACTACAGTATGCCAGAGAACATCATTTGGAAATAAATGCCTTTGTCCCGAAGAGAGCGCCTCTGGTCTGGTACATTGCTTTAAGGGTGAAACAAAGGAATCTAATGGCATGTACTATTACATTATTTGTGCTATTTCAAATAGTATTACCGATCACACTTCACTTGGGACACAAATAATGTAGTAGTACATGCTTACTCAATGCATTAATTAACCAGTAACTAAGTTTTAGTAACATTATGATCCCATGCTTGTTCATCATTAATCAGTCATGACTATGTATCCCATCCAGGAACTATATTAGTTAACAGTTAAGTTAACTAATTAGTTATTAGTTAAGTAATATAGTTCCTGCATGGAATACATGGTCCGTCATAATTGATTAACGAACTAACACTTAGTTAAATCATGAATTAATGCATTAAGTAAGCGTGTACTGCTAGATTGTGCCCTCAAGTAAAGTGTTACCATGTTAGCCATTTTTGACTAATTTTTCCTGCTGAGTTTTTGGTACAAATAGCAGTGAAAGACATATCTATCACTCTCACACCTTTGGCACTGAATAGATGTCTCACATACTTAGTAATAACAATGGTTTAACCAAGAAAACACAGAAAATGCTCATGATTTCATAGAATAAGAACTGATAGAGAAAACATACATGAATAATAATGATAAGCATTATGGTACTCGATGGGCCCAAATAATATGGCATTATACTATTACTTATGCATTAACCACAAACAATGTGTTACGTAATGATCTGATGTTAATTCATCATTAATGAATCATGATGCATGATTTATCTCAAGCAGTTACTATATTTCTTACTATATCTGTTAATTCTGTAAACTTTTGTGAACAACTGAAGGAACAAGTCAAGAATAACTCAAATGAAACACTGATCTCATGTTTGTTCATTGATGAAATGCGATGTACCTTATCTCAAGTGATTTGTTCATAATTTGTATTTCAGTAGTAACTGAGTTATTATTAAGTATTTGTGCCCCATCAATTAAATTGTTACCACATTTTGTGGCAGGTCAGGTTAAGCTATAAGGAGCAGATTTCCTTTAGAAATGAGCAGCAGTGATGTATCTACATACATTTCCTGCGGTTTCAAAGTCTGCACTTGACACAGTGGAGCCGGCATTGATGCTGCCATAGGCTTTTGCTTTATCTCTTCCCTTGGCGCCGATATGAATCACCCCAGGAAGCTGAACCTGCTGAAAGTCCTCCAGGGACAGTCCTGCTAAGAGGCTTAGAATCTCGCTGCTGAGCTCATGTTTCTGTACATGGGCACGGTCACACACCTCGTAGGTGTACTGGGGACAGTGCACCACCATGAAGAGCCAGGTGAAGGGGTTGCAGGTTGCCTTCGGGTATGGAGAGGGGCTTGCTGTGCGAAGAATAGAAATTCTGGTGTTAGGGGTGAAGGAAGACAGCGAGTGACTACTTCCTGTCTGGGTCATCCGGATGCTTCCAAAGTGATTATTTCCTACTTTCATTCAAATTGATAAACTGCTGATATCACCTATGACAGTAGTGTGTAGAGCAGGGTTGCCTAACCCCACTCCTGGAGATCTATCACCCTGCAGAGCTTTGATGCAGCACTAATTTAACACATCTGATACTGATAATCAGGCCGTTCAGTAGCATATCAGTATTAGAGCCAACTTAGCTTCAACATAGCTGACTCTAATACTGAGATGCTACTGCAGTGCCTGCTTATCTGTATCAGGTGTGTTAAATTAGGGCTGTACCTAAGCCCTGCAGGGTGATAGATCTCCATGAGCAGGGTTGGGCAGCCCTGGTGTAGAGTAATGATGAGCATCTGCAAATCATTAACCAGGTGAGGATGATTTTCAGCCCCAAATATGAAGATTAAAGCCAACAGATGAATACGGATGCTGTTTTAAAGTTTTTTTTTTTCTCTAACAGCAGAAATTAAGTTCCTGACTGAGTCCTGTAACATAATACAGGTATGCGTTAGTACTGGACAGACTTACCGGTGTGACTGTGCTGTGCCAAAGCCATATTGATAAAGAAGTTACCAGCTTCACAAAGCTGTCAAATGAGAGAATGCATCTGCCATTAATACACTGTACACTCCGAATAGAAGCCTTCACAATACAGTGGAATGAATTCATATATATGAATATTCACTTAGGACTAGATTTATATATATATATATATAGATTTATGCAATGATTGTTAATTGCAGACGTATGGAGATTCCAATATAAAAGCCTATCCAGATGACAATCATGGATGAAAATAGCAAAATGTGATTCCAGTGATATCTCATTAACCCAGGATTAGTGTATGGCTGGCCCCCTGACTTGGAATTTACCCAGCAACAGCGGCATATAAGGCTGTGAATCAGGGGTGACTGAGAGGCCCAAGCTGCAGACAGCAAGGGGGCTTATCTTAGCGGGCATTTACTGTGACTTCATTAGGATTGTGGGCTTCCTCTGCCTACCTGCATTTTGTAGGGCAACAGGGGTCATAACTGTAAAGCAATGAGGTTTCAAATACTTTAACAGGTATCCTAATGCAAGTTATCTCCAGAAGGTATTTGTTCTGTACATTATTAGGGAGGAAAGCATACCCTGAACAGTTAAGTATTGTAATGTAATCTGTATTTATAGCATGATTTGGGGACAGAGAGCTTAATCGACTAGTCATACAGGCAGCAAGGACATCTGTGCCATGTTTCTCAGTTGCTACATCATGACATGGTTATGATACATTATATATAATCGTCCTATTTCTATTGCTGTTGTTTCCTGTAAGTTTGGTGCTGGTTCGGAGAAACAGAAAAAATAAGCAGCCCAAAGCAGTTAAAATGACAATGGCTTTTTTGAGCAGATAAGTATTCAGGCATGAGGTCCTTTATGTGTCTGTCCAATGCTTCCAGAGCCCAGGAAATGCGAGCTGTGCTCAGTTCTGCTAGGGGAACAATGTGCCGGAACAGTTCCCCAGTCATTACCGCAGAACGTGTCTGGGGCACCTTCTCCATGCTGAGCACCAACGTGGATGTCAGTCGCTTTGTCAGAGCCATTCCTTTAATTTGAGATCATTTAAAGTGTCCCACAGCTTTCGTGTTGACTCTGTGCTTGGAGACGGTGTGGGGGGATGGGCGTTTGGTTCATGATTTTCGGCAGAAGCGGAGTCGGGGGAACTTGATGAAGTACCCACGCTGTTTTTGCCTTTATTGAGGGCCGTGGGTGTCCTCCACCGGTTTTGCTTAATGATGTGATTTGCGGCATGCTGAGTGATTATGTACATTTTAATAATTTAGTGAGCTTAAGTCACCTTGCCAGTCAGTCTTAAATTGGATGTTCCAAAAGCCTTTACTTTTTTTTTTTGACTCGCACCAAAGATAATTGTCTGCTCAGAAAATTTTGGGAAATTATCATCATCCTTGCAAGGAGAAAAGTGATAGATGGTTGATTGTTGTAATGTCGGAGGGGTGATGTTATTATGTGGCTCCTCAGCACTTTGTGCTCTGTCAAAGACAGAGATCACAGAGCACTAGCCGGCAGGCAGGCCGGCTTCCGGAACATTCTTGAACGCATCTAGATGAGCGAGACTAGGGAGAGCTATAAGGTGTTGGCTGGCCTCGTGCCTCAGCTTCCAGGGCTCGTGTCCTGAATGGATTACGTAGCACACAATAGATGGCAGATTAACAAAAATACCGAAAGCAGGGAACTTTCCAGAAGGTTTCATGCTCCAATCAACCTTTTCTACCTGTGTAGCTCTTAGCAACAGTGTTTTGTACACAATGGTAAATCCTTTTCAAACAGAGGTAAAGTAATTGCTCTTAGTAGTAATATAACTTATTATTGTACCATTATGCAGTCATTTCTCATTATTATAATTATCTGTTGTTTTTGTTACTTGATAGTAGGGCCAGATGTATTAGTCTGACTGGTATTCTCCTTATGCAGAACAGGAAATGAGAAGACAGTCCTCTACTACAAAATATTTGCATTGCTATTCAGCACTAATAATTTGCTCCACCATTATTTTTGGTTCAGTAAATGTTTCAGTTGTGTCTGGGTTTAGACTGAGATAAAGTAGAATTTGCAAAGGATAGGCTTCCCTGCATTTCAAACTTCCTGTCATCAGACATAGAGACTTTCTGCTTCCTGGCTTTGTGTTAACTCACCAAGTCATCTATGCTACAGGCACATGAAGGAATACCTGCCGCAAACACGTATTGTATGCAAGTACACAGGTGTTAGAAAGGTATTGTTTTTTTGAGGCAATATTTGCATGTGGCAGAATAATTAAAATCTAAATGACTGTGTGCAGTTTCACACGTCTTCACATCTTCATCTTTACTCGCAGCAGGACACTCTTTCAGCACAGGACTGGCAGGCTCCTGTATGGTTTTTCCTGATGCCCTTGCATGTCTATGGAGTTCTGCTACTAAGAGCGCAGCCAAGTAACTGGAGAAGGACCTGGTTCTGGCCAGAATGTGGAGGTTACGGCTATCAAAACGAATACTTTGTAGTACAAGATTAAAGCAGAAGAAGGTTTTGCCACTTGACCCCTAAAAGGCCTTCTACTTGCAGGGAGATACATTCACACTGTGTGTAAATGGTTCTGAGTGCCGGACAAGGGTCCCGACCTTCTGCAGATGGTGGCTCCTCCAGCACCCTGACCCCAGATCCTCCACCATGAAGACTCTGTATCCTCTCCAGCGGTTATTATACTAGGCGAGGTGCCAGCAGAGGGTGAAGTTCCTTGCCCACTGCTGTAATGCCTGTATCACTCAGAAGCTACTCAGTGAGGAGCAGGTGTTCTGTGAAGTCTACCAGTGGCTGGAGATCCTGCAGACTATCTACTCATCCCCAGACTGACAACCTCGTCAAGAGCTGCCGCTGGAACCTGGACACCCAGTTTGCCATCCTCATCTGCCAATACCAGTGAGACTGGGACCACCTCCTTCCCCAGGTTCAGTGGGCCTACCAGATGGCAGCCCCAGGAGGACACACCAGCAGCTCTCAAGTGACTTCGAAAACTGAAGATGCCTGTGGACCTGGTGTTTGAGTTTTCACCAGAGCATGAGGAGGCCAGCCTGTAGTATGTGCATCATTTACATGAGTGACCAGTCAATGACCAGTTAGGCACAGGCAGCCCCAGAAGTCTATCAAAAGTGACCTTCCATGGATTGGACTTTGCCCCAGGGAACCAGTTGTGGGTCTATTGCCTTACCTAGAAGATGGGTTTGTCCCCAAAACTTAATAGTTACTGGAGGGGCTGTGTAAAATCCTAAAGCACATGTTGGATGTGTGTTGTTCTGTATCCAGTTCTTTATCCAGTTATGCTGTATTTGTTGCTCACCATTAAAAATGGTGACTTGGTAGTAGATTGATGACCTGCATGGTTTTACCGTATGTTGGGTATGTTTGCATATATGTTTGGAACAATAAAAAACTTTCCAGTCTCAATATTCAACTTGAGCTCAACGGTATTTTGCTAATCTATTCAATGTGATCATTCTACTTACCAAGAACGAGAAAAATGAAGGAATGATTTGCTTGTTGGCAAAATCTAAAAAAAAAAGAATACAGTTATATTATTAGAGAATGAGAAGCACATACCCACTTGGTCTTTCGAGAGAGCAAGGTCCTAATAGGACAGATAGCACTCATTGCTATAAGGCTAGGTCCATAGGTATCGCTAAATATTTTAGCTACATAATTAGCTGTTAGTGTCACATGGCTTGGCCCATCTACCTGATGAACAACGTTGTACTGTATATATTAGTAGGTTAACTGATTTCTTTCCACTCATGGGAGGGCAGAAGGAAAAATGAATGGTTCAGAGAGATGATCAATCAAATTGTAGAAGAGGTGGGATCAACAAATCAGATGTTTTGGTCCTGCCTCATCTAGTGGCCTGGACCCACCTCCTCTTCAGTCTGATTGGTTATCCCTCTGAACCAATTATTTTTCCTTCTACCCTGAGAACATTTTTGTGTAATACTCCCACAAGCGTTCCTTCCAACACAGTAAAAAAATGACATTCTTACTACCCACACTGTGACTTTTAAAATGAAATATTATATATGTAGGGTGAGACTTGCTTCCATAATCCATATGGGCTCCAGTCCTTAAGGCCCTCAGGATGCTCTGCTGGTTTCTTCTATACCTCAGCTCTTAATGACTTCATCGAAGCAATAATTTGCATGGTTCCTCACCTCATCTAGTGTTTGAGGTGTAAATCGGTTGCTAATTAAGGTGTGAGACCTTTAGGGCTGTGGGTCCACAGTGGATACCTTAATATAAAAAGGTTCAGGTGCAGCCGCAGGTGTTAATGGACAGTAAACAGGTGTGCTAAAGGGAGGCACCAAAGGAAAGAGATCCACACAAATAAATCATGCTCTTAATATGTAAATGACATTGCAGTTTCAAATACAGATTGTTCATAAACAAAGGATTTTATGATGCTTGCCTTTCTGGTTGTTTGTCACCAAGTGCCCTACATTTCAACAATGATTAAGACAGCTGTAATACTAATAAATGGAATAGTGATATTTTATTCATCACTGCGGGCAAATTCTCTTTTCGCCATCGCCAACCCTGTCTTGCTGTCCATGAGACACACAGACACATATATAGGTGGGACCAAGCTTGGGGGGGGGGGGGGTCAGTGGGTAGCCCCCCTGCAGCTGGGGTTTACAGGCCTGGCTCAAGGGCCCACAGACACACGGCTGTTCTGCTGAAGCTCAAACCAGTGACCTTTCAGTCACAGGCTCAGAGGCTGGGCCACACACTGCCCCAAAGCAATATCTATATATTTTATATATTTGTCATTGTTAGCTGGTCAGTTTTCCATAATAAAGTTATCAGTAGTGCTATTTCAGTAAAGAAAGTTTCTGAGGCAAATCTAAAATAACCAAGAATTAAAAATGATTCATGATTTAATTTATTCATGTTTTTAAAGCAAGTTAATTTGAGACTTGTTTGGAGTGTGAAATCACAGAATATCTGGGACATGATGACATCTCCAACACGAGCCTTGTTTACAGTGCGTAGAAATGTCATTTTCTTGCAGTTTTTAGAGTTCAAAGCCAAAAAATAAAATGAAACACCTGTTAACCCAGCTTAAAATATCTACACATGTATTATTTCTGCATATGAAGCAACAGGAGGTGTGAAAAAACAGGTAGTCTCACATTACTGCTTCCTGTCATCTCACACCACCAGCAAGGGTTCTGGGTTCAAATACCATCCCATCTGTGTGCGCCTGTCTTCTCATGAAGGCCTCCTAGCTTCCTGGTACACCACTTCCCTCAAAACAAACCATTGGATCATTGACTGTACATTTCCCTTAGTGCAGTGGTATTCAAACTTTTTTGACAGGGCCCCCCTAGGGCTGATATATTTGTCCTGATCTCTCCCCCTTCCACACACACATACATGTTCACATTATCTTTAATATTTCTAATGGTTGCGGTTTTGAATTAGATCTACCCCCCATCTCAAACCCCCCACACCTTTCTCTGTTCCCCCCCTGCAGTTCCTACATGCCCCAGCAGGAGGGGAGACACCCCACAGTTTGAATACCTCTACCTTAGTGTGTATCAATGCCCTGCGATGAATCTGCATCCCATCCAGGATGTAGGGACAGACTCCAGATCACCACATCCATAATTGGATAAGTGGCTTCTGCAAGTGGATGATCGGTTATATATATCTACACTGTAAAATGAAAACAGCGGGTGCGATAGACTGTCACACTGTTATTTATGTACTTATCTGTATTTAAATTAAAGAATATATTTCTTCCATATCAATGTCCGCACATGAATGACCTGCATTAAAACCTATCACAGGTATTCTTCTAATCTTTCAATGCTGCCTGTTGGCCTTCAACATGTGTTAAAAAGTACGTTGGACACAATGCGTGTATGACAACTGGTGACTGCGTAGGGAGACTAATGAGGAGAGGGGGATGCTCTGTGCTGCAGAAGTACCCAGGAGACAGGGTGGAGATGAATGCCCTGGCTCTCCACTGAGCTCACGTCAAATCCTGTCACCCTTTCTCACCAGACCATTGGCAGAACCTGGCAGGACCCTCGAGCGCTGAGCTTAATGGCCCAGTGGGCTTAACATGCTTATGCTGGCACCCCTTCCCGTCATCTGCATCATCACTGACATGGTTGGAGAGCTAAGGGGCATATCCATATCCAAGTCTTGGCACATGAGAGACCACTCACATGGAGGTGTATACAGAGGGTGGTTGACGTAGTACCCCAGCCAGGATGTAAATCCCCAGTAAAACGCACAGCCCTGCAAGAAAGATAGCTTCACTTAGCACGATGTTGATCTTTACCTTCCGAAGACTGGAGAAGTTACCAAAAAAAAAACAGATGAAAATGACAGGGATCGGCTGGAGGTTCATTAAAGCGTTTCACACACAGGCAGCTGTGGCATGCTGATCTGTAGGCTTGACTGAACACGGAATTACTCACAGGAAGCTGTCCCTGATGGACTGATATGGATCCGCGGACGGGGCTGCTGCGCGTGGGTGTGGAACCTTTCCCGACCATCTACTGTTCAGGTCCAAAAAATTTCCCGCCTACCTAGGGCCATTCCCTCTAAAAAAATTAACCGACCTTCCAACTATGACCACAACGGAGCCCGTGTGCATCGGCTTTTTCATTAGAGACCTGTCTTTGTGGCTTTGGGTTCCCGCATCTGCTAAATGACGACATCAGCATCGGCCACAGCAGGGCAGCGTGGAGGAAATGCGGCTGTGTGCTCACTGGACATTTCTGCATCTCATCAAAGACTCATCGCTCTTGTTTTTTCGTTCGGTCTTAATGAGATGGTCAATGGTTTATAATTCCAGGTGGTACATTACCAGCCACATCTCTCTGGCGTTTTTATTTTGTGAAATTTTCTCAACTATTAAATCTATTTCAAATCTGAATCACATTGTATATGAACGTCAAGGTTTGTTGAGCTTGTGTTTTGAAGCCAAACAGAAGATAGATAAGTAGATAGATAGATAGATAGATAGATAGATAGATAGATAGATAGATAGATGCTCACTGCAAAATACAAGTGCATGTGGTCTTGGTTTCATTTTACTTCAGTGTAGTTAATAGACACCTATGCTCTCTTTATATTTTATTGTATGTGTTGTATAGTCAATCATTGATCACTTCTCAATATTTAACTATGCCTGCAATAAAGAGCTTTTTGTATATTCATAAACGTAACGTCGACTGTCTGTTCTCCTTAGCTTTAATGGCATACTCCTTTGCCAAAATATATGAAATAGCGTGCAGCAAAGTTAATTAGCACCATGGGATTTCAGCGTGAATGGATTCAATGCTTCTGGTGTAGCTTTAAAATGCAAATGTAGCCTCTTTGACATTTCGCCTGGCTCGGTAGAAAAGCAGAACTTGAGTGCAGTGATGTTGTGGGTGTTATCAATGAAGAACTTTAGCTTCCAAAGTGACCAACACATAAGGGTTGATAAAGAAAACCCCCCAGGGCCTTTGTCCATTTTATTCATGCCGCTTGGGCAGTAGCCTCCCCCAGATTCGGCCCCACACATGGCGAGGCTTGGGGGGGGGGTGGAGAAGCGGATGGGAGACAGAGCCCTTTGGTGATTAATAACGGCTCACTTAGGTTGAAAAGCTCTTCCATCACTCTGACACTGCAGACATGACGGCTGATGACACGTAGAACAAAAACACGACGGACTGTTCCAGTTAAAAATCAGACACCTTCGGCACAAGAGCAAGACATTTGGAGGGATACCGCACACCTCGAAAAATCGAGGATCCTCTCCAATGCACGGGCGAAAACCTGGGAGCCCACATGCTCAGGTGGCTTATAAGGAACATTGGAACAGAAGCGCCATCAGCATTTCTCCAACATTCAATATTCTGTCTGGGTCTTCAGGCTTACCGATGGCATGTTCTCAATCTTTCAAGAAGCTGGATTTTTCCTCATGGGATTAATGGTCGTATATTGTGTGTGGGAGGGGCCATCTCTGTGTTAAGCTGCGCTCGATTCCTACAGCGGTGATTTGTCTGCGGGTTAAACAGTGCCGGCCGGTCAGCGCGGAGATTGTGCACAGGCGGCGGCGCTTAACGGATCCTCCTATGTACCTTCAGGAGGTTCCGCAGAGGGGTGTAGCCATCAGACAGCCGATGGACGTACAGAGTCTCCAGAAGATGCTTAACGTAGTGGAGTGAGTGACAGAAACAGGCCAAGCTGTAGAGCCAAAAGCGGGGGGCGGGGGGGGGGGAGGTTAAGGAAAATAAATAAATATCTGTCTGGACGCATGTTGCAGTTTATGAAGTCCTCCAGAGCCCAGACGCCGCATGCTTCTAAAAGCCAGAGGCGTAGCCCACAATTAACTGGGCACGGTGTGCTCTCTACCAGATCAATAATGCCACCTAAGTAAGCCTCAAAGAGGTACTCCACAAAAAGCTGATTGCTAAGAACTTCCAGGACTGCGAGGACCTGAGCCTGGAGGCCAAGTGTCAGACTCGATTCTTGGAGACGTTTGCAAAAGGTTCTTGCATTCCAACTCGTTCACCTGCCTTAAATGGTCCACTACATACTTAATTATCTATGTTATTTTCCCCAAGTATAGCCATGAAATAAGGCAAACAACAACATTTTATGTGTATCATTGTTATTAAAAATATATATAATGGACCAATTAAGTGCATAAAAATGCACGGAGATGACAGGCCCGGGATAATGAGACAGGTTTATTAATTTGTTATTTTTTAAATTGAGCACAATGATGTCTAAGTCAGTGGTTTAGCTGCCAACACTTACTGTACAACCAGAGGCCGTTGCTTCTTGATGCTGCTGTCATACAGATTCCACGTGTGGAAATAAAACATCAAGTAAATGAGGAGAGGTCCGATATACTGTGTGAGAAATACCTGTGGACACAAAGGGGGGAAATGGCCACAGTGAGGTAGACATGTGTGCAGCACAGCCTGTTTACTCTACAGAAAAAACAGTAAGAAATATCTATGACTGAAGCAGCATGTGTGCTCTATGTAATAAACAGAAGGAAATATCTATGACTGATGCAACTTGTGTGCTCCACGTAATAAAAAAAAGGAAATATCTATGACTGACCCAGCACGCTTGCTCTACGTAATAAACAAAAGGAAATATCTATGACTGAAGCAGCATGTGTGTTTTATATATTAAGCAAGAGGAAATATCTATGAGCAACACAGCGGTGTGCTCTGCGTATTAACCAAGAGAAAATATCTATGAAAAACACAGCATGCGTGCTCTATGCATTAAACAAGAAGAAATACCTATTACTGAGGCAGCACATATACTCTACGTTTTAAAAAAAGAGAAAGTATCTATGAGCTATGCAGCATGTGTGCTCTATGTATTAAACAAGAGAAAATATCCATCCATCCATCCATCCATTTTCCAACCCGCTTATCCTACTGGGTCGCGGGGGGTCCGGAGCCTATCCCGGAAGCAACGGGCACGAGGCAGACAAGAGAAAATATCTATGACCAAATGTTAAGGTCACAGTGAAAGACCCCGTCCTCAATATATGGAATATGAGATAATTTATGATGTAACCATTAACCGTTTTGAGTATGCGAGCTGTAACTAGAGTGGTAGGGTTACTGCTGATTTTAAAACAAAAGGTTATTTTAAAGCATTTGAATGCTATGCATAGTGACGTTAATTCACAATATATATAGTACAGATGCTCCTCTACTTACGAACGTTCAACTTACAAACTTTCAGACACACGAACAAAGAGGAATGTAAGTCCAAATTGTGTTCACTGGGCTCCCGTTTCCTGTCCGCAACATCAATTTTTTTTTCTGCACGCCAATTCCTCCTAGTACGACGTTCTTAGTACTTTGATATACCCTTAAATGATGTTGAATAACAACTTACGAACATTTCAAGTTACGAACGACCATTCAGAATGTATCTCATTCGTAAGTAGAGGAGCGTCTGTATATTGAAGATTAGTATAAAACACCATAGCTACAGCTGCAGTCCCCTCATGCTTGCGTAGGGGGACATAGTACAGTCAAGTATTTTGTAAGTAAAGTTACGTGTGCACGTATTTGTGCTGCAAAATGTTGTTTTATTTTTATTTCACCATTGTGAAGACGCATTATGACGCATACTTATCCAAAAATAGCAATGCTGGTATCCATGTTCTGGCAAACATTTTTTTATTACAAATATTGCAGACAAGTACAAACAATGGCACACAATACAGAACAAAGTACATTTTATCATTATAGTTTAACGCTAGAGGGGATGCTCTGGCATTTGTTTATGTGACAGAAATAACAATTACGAATATCTGGTGCGTAATTATGTAGCAAGGTAACATCCACCTAGTATCCAAATTGTATCACTCATTGTCTGCCCTTATGCCCTACTGAGTGTTCTTTGTAGGGAACACTATATAGTGAGTGAGTGAACAAGTGGACATTTCAATCACAATCTATATGTACTGCAGGCAACTGTGTAGGTATTAATAGCCAACATATTTACTTGATTACTTCCAGCTACATCTTCTGTTAGGCACTTGTTAAAACACCTGTAAAGCTGGAGGTTTAGGTAAGGTGTTCTTGAGTGTGCAGGTGGCTTTTGTACGTGACAGGTAAGGGGGGGGGGGAGGGATGTGGAGGGACTGAGGCACGGTCGGCCCTCACCGTGGTCCAGCCCACCTGCTGGCCGAGATCTGTGGAGTACAGCGTCACCAAGGAGGAAGAGGCCAGTGTCCGCACTAGGCAGGTGTCCCGTAGGAACGGCCCATCTGCAAGACACAGCCAGCATGGGAAAACCTCAGGCATTTGCAGGCTGGGCCTTTTTCCAGATTAAAAATGCCCCCCTTCTGATGCTCCAAGTACCCACATCACCTCCACATACACGCACCATCCATGTTGGATCGATAACTGACAATCAACAGCAACATCTCCTGAGAGGGACCCCCGCATCGAGAAACTTTACTGAGGGATACCCCCCTGGATGCCAAAACGTACTGGTCGGTCACGCCCCCTCATTCTGTGCACGTCACTGAAAAACCTGCCAAACAATGTTTGTCCTAGTCATGTGATCCAAAGAAACAGCCCCTTCCCCCATAGTATGGAAGTGTTCCCATGGGAACAAGGTGGCGGGGGGGGAGGGGGACATTGGGGTCTGTCTTACATTCCAGGATCAGGACCACAGTAAGGGCATGGATATCCGGGCAGATTCAGAAGGCCCGGCACTGTGCAACGGCCCTTGAATACGAAAACTTATAAGGTGACATTTTGTCAGAGGGGGCTTACAATCTCTAGCTATGTCCCCCTACAGGGTATACTGAACTGAGCAAAAAAATGACAGTTTGTGTAACATTTAGGGGGGAAAAGATCAATGTTGTGTATTTAATATGTAATCGGAAGCAGAGCCCCCAGAACACGATGGGAAAGTGAAGGCACACCGATGGTCTCCATCTCATAAAAATATCACATAGTATTACTACTGCTTACATTGATTTTTTTCCCCTTCTGTTCTGAAGTGTCAGACCTCTAAGTAAACAAGTGGATTTGGGGCCTTGCATTTCCCTTCAGTATTAATGCTTGTTTCTGCCCCAAACCACTTTTATTTCTCCTGCATTTCTCATAGTTTAAGCATCAGAGTTACTGGGACTTTAAATCATTAGTTTTATATTAGTAGAAAGACGTTGGCATTTTTCCTTTTTATTGATGTCACACTTTGGAGCAGCAGTGCAAATTTGTTCTTGTTTAAGAAGTCCGAGCCGAACCGGCCCAGGAGGTTGCAGGGGCAGGACAGAGTCATACAGATATCCGAGAAGCTTCACTGCACGTCCACGTCCATGCTGCAGAACTGGACCCCGCAAGGCCAGTGAAAATGAAGCGATTTTACTTTATGCGTTTTAAGCCGGGCACATTTAGAGGTTTTATTTAATGGATTAATTTAGAGGTTTTCCACCGTTTATTTAATAATTGTATTATTCAGTACTTTATATAGGACAGCCGGTGCCACGACAGAACCATGACCAGGAGGTTGGTAGTTCAAGTCCCAGGGGAACCCAACTGGCATGCTGTCGAGTGAAGCCACTTAATCTTAATTGCTCCAGTAAAATATCTGGGTGAAAACGGTAAACAGTAAAATTGCCTGGAGATAAAGCAGGTGTGCCGCTGAGCACATAACGATCGGCCATCACCCAGCTTCTGGGAGGTCTTATGTAATTAGGGATGTTGAGTCCCGCCTCTGGGAGGGCTATCCTGATTGGCTGATGGATGTGAGGCTGCCGCACCACATGATGATGCACCAGAGGACCCATGGTCCGCATTTAACATTTCAGGTCCCCAGATTCCAGCATAAGAAAAGATCCCTGACATCTTATTTTCAGTCAATACACCGTTAAAAAAAGGCACACCCTGCCAAAACTGGTACCTTTATTTTTTTTTGGGGGGGGGGGAGCAAAGGCGTTATTTTCTATTACGGAAATCTGAGTAAATGTCAGCCATGTCAGTCAGAAGGCATTAGCTCTGGCTCTCTAGCCACCGACGCCTCGCGCTGCCTCAGACTGGAAAAACAGCCTGGAAACGTGAAGCACCTTCCCGGTTTACCAGCATGTAGCTTAATTAGTGGGAGATTCATCTGAAGTGCAAAGTGACACCATATTCATATCCGTTATAACGCCGCTCGTGTGTAGCCTGCGAGCTCGTGTGTATAAATAGTGCTGTTTTCTGAAAGCACACTGATCAGATCAAGTTATAAGCTGCTGTATGGCAGGGCAGGAACGGGCCATCTGGCTTACCGGCCATATTCCCAGTAGGCAGATGCCGACACGGGCCAGCAAAACTCATTGTGGGGGATCCTCCACAGGTGGCAAAATTTACCAGGGGGACCCCAATGTTCAAGGCTGATTTTTAAACTAAAATTTTTTTTTATTTTTAAGTCCAGCTCAGAAACATGCTTATATATTAAACCCGGCATGGAGAACTTTAGGTTAATCGTTTTTTGGGGCGCTATGGAAACACCAGTGACAGTGTACATTTGACCTCTTCATGACCTAATGACAGATTTCAAAACCCACCCGCCAGTCGGGGTACTTACTGGGCTCAACCCGGAGACCAGTGCGTGACGGATACCATCCAGGACCTGTAGAGGAAGCAGGAGATCAACCAGGTTTGGTAGAATGTCCAAACTGCAATAACCTCGTAAAACGTCAATAACCTCGTAATATCTCAGTTACAGTCCAAGCTTGTTTTTCAGCAATATGATACTAAAATATTCGCTGATGACCAAAGATGAAGATTAAACATATTGGCAAGACATGCTAATATTTGCATAATATAAATTTCATATTTAAATTTTGAAGACCCAGGCAGAGGACAGAACATTCTGGGGTAATGCATTCTATACGATTGCCTGGAGTTGATTTGAAGGCACCTCATAATAATAAATAATAATAATAATATTCAATTTGCTTTGCACATCACCATTTGTACCGTACACTAATAAATTATCACTGAGTCATGGGTGATCAACAGCGTTATCTTAAGAAGCCAAGGTAATTTACTTATGTAACTAAATCATCTTGTGTATTTCAAAATTGTTATGTAATTTAACTATATGTCATATACGGAATGGTGTTTGGCTTTGAAGGAAAAGAATCGGTGTCCTTATTCAGAAGGTTGTTTGTTCAAATCCCATGGCTGGTAGATGTCACCATTGGGCCCTTCAGCAAGTCCCTTAACCTGATTGGCTCTAGGGACACTGGCTGACTGGACAAAAGCGTCGGCCAAGTAAACAAATGAAAATAAATCAAAAATCCCTCTACTAATACTAGTGAGGGCACGTACAAGACTGCTATGCCTACTGTTTACTGGCCTTTTGTGTGGGCCCAGGGAATTAAACCCGTCCTGGTAATTGCATCACCCGGCAGCATAACCAGCTAACAGGAGAAGAATGTCATTCTGGGTGGTGGCAGCTTCGCCAAGGGACATCAGTGTGCTGGTTAACCCCATTTGTATGGATCTGGATGGAAGCAGTTGCCAAGGAGTGAATATACATGAGCAGGACTCTCTGTTTCCAATCAGCGCACAGCTGCCGGCCATCCTGGACTGGGCCACCCCTAAGGCTGCGAGCGTGTGGGGGCTGAGGTTCTGGACGAGGGAAAAGCTCACATTTCTCCGGTGTTCCACCTAAAGCAGCTAATACAATAACATGGACAACAATAACAACAAGACCGTAATCAATGCCCTCAGGGGCCCCTTTTAACACAGTAATGAGATATTGTCTGTAAAACAACCAATTACTATTTTCAACAATCGTACATTAATTTATGTTCATTACTCTACAAAAGGCCTTGGTGCTTTGATGAATTCAGAGCGCACATCCACAAATACAAAAATGATCATTCATTTAGTCTTATCTAATAATGTTAATTTCTTCCAGCTGTTCTTAATAACATTAAAAGTGCACTAATCCTCGACTATGGTGGACTAATCACAAAGCCATTGGACAGGAATCCACAAAAGATAAGGCTTCACAGTATAAACATCAATACGCGGCTGGGTGAAAGCGTTTCGGCGAGCTTCTGGAAGATTAGCTCTGTCCAAAGAGTTTATTTGTTTTGTGACAAAGGACCTGCAGATCTCAGGGAAAACTGACACGCCATCAATCGCCAGGCAGCTGCTGTTATTGTATTATTGAATGTCGTGAATACTGGGATATTCCAGAAGGTCTCCGTTAAAAACCATCGTTAATAACTCGTGTCCCTGACGATCGTCTGAATGGGGCCTTGCAACTGTAGCCCCGCATTGTTCACATTTAGCTGCGTCCTTCAGCACTAGTGAAATTATAAACACTGATTATGAACGATTCATTATTACATGTCTGTTTGTCTGAACTCCACTGCTCAGGGGCGTCAGAAGCATCTTGAATGTGTGTGTGTGGGGGGGGGGGACACTGGCATAAAACTAATATTTAATGTTAAATGTGAGGGGGGGGGGTCCAAACGAATAATTATGAAATGTGAGGGGGACATGTCTTCAGAACCTCTGTTTCTAGTGCAAGGGGACCAGCTGAAATTTCCGCAAAGGAATCTTCGACGCAGATACCCATAGATTAAAAAGATTCCCGCTGTGGCATAGGACCTTTTTCGTTTAGTTACATTTTGGACATTTTTAGTAAGGATTAATGCCCAGAATTATACTGTTCAGCTTTAAAAAGGTACCGAGTACCAAGAGAATGAATGAAACCAAACTCATTAGTCAAAAAGCATCTGAATGGGGTTTGGATGAGCACTTTAGGATCAATGAAATAATTTCCATATTTATGTTTTGAACAGCTCTGCAGGGGCCAGGTGTGTTTACAGCGAGGGGAGCAGTTAGGGGTGTCAAACTTGGTCATTTGGGTTGTGGGGGGGGGCGGGGGGGGGGCTGCTGTTATCTTTGATAGAGCTACTTCACTTGAAGGGCTGTGGCTGTAAAAATATTCAGGAACTGAGCCATGAAAAATTATACATGCAATGAAATGATTAATAATATTTATAATGTAGTTACAATGTATCATCTTAGATACTTTGGATACTTCCCCAATGTAGAAACCCCGTCTCTCCCCCGCCCACCCTGTATCTGACCTGTAGGGTTGCTTTAAACCTCAGGCCATGCTGCCCCCTCAGCCCACCCAGACTGCACGTCCGACCTCCTGGACGGTCTGTGGGGAAATTAACCGGTGAGCTCATGCAGGCTTTGCGTTTCTATGGAAACCTTGCACTTATTCTGTCTCAGAGTTTGAAGCCTTGGTGGGGATTGAGGGGAGGCGCTAAAATGTGAAATCATTCTGTCGTTTTTGCCATCGCTGCCCCTTGTAACCCCCCCCCCCCCCAAACATAAACGCACATGCTGAACAACGTGCCCTCGCTTACAGCCAGAGTTTATCTGTCGACTGCCGAAAGAAAGTGCCATCCAAGGCATTATGTATCGAAACTTGGGTGAAAAGAGCAGAACAGCTTTGCCATCGTCACTCTGAATGCCAACAAAGTTACAGGCTGACACCTGGAAAAGCAGACAAACGCCAGGCCCACTAGTCTAGAGACAGATAAGTGACAGATATGTAGAGATTGCAGAAAAACTTGACATGGTCCATTCAGGCGTCGTCAAAGCAGCTTTTCACTCCATTCTGCTTTTTGTGACGTGTGGGGTGGGGAATGGCACCCAGCCACATCCTGGGGGACAGTGAAGTGACCTTGCTGGCACTGATCCATTTCACCTGTCCCCAGTCTTGAAAAAACATATGTATACATTGTTTCCTTTTTCAACCCCGAACACATTCCGGAATACAGTCTCAGGCGACATCACAATTGGTCCCAGTTTTTGGTTCCTTTGTCCCCGACTCCCACAACATGAGTCTGTTTCTCCCGCCGGGATGGTGCCTTTATTTTTAGTGTTTATGTCTCCTGGTGTGTCAAGTCCATCCCCCTCCTGGCCCGTACCTCCTGTAAAGGCGAGCCCCCCCACCCCCACCCCCCAAATAAACTGCTATCCCCCTGCCTTCTGGTGTCGTGTGGTCCCGTTACCCGTCCCGGCCAGAGGGATTCTCACACTTTTGTAATTGGATTCTCTGTGTTTTTCGTGGTGAAAAACGAACTGGCTGGAGCGACATCTGTGAACGATGTTGCACTGCCACCTGGTGGACATTGTGGTATAAACCGTTCAGCCGGCTGACGGAAATTTCTATTCGATTTTGGTCTCATGTTCTGTGACACCGTCATTACGAAGGAAAATAAAGATTCCTAAACTGTCATTCTGAATCCACAGATATATTCACCCGACTTATTTGTGAGTATATAGAAAGAAGAGGCAACTAAATTGGTTTAGCTCCTAACAGCCCTAGAATTCATCATAAATTGACATGCATCACATTGGGGCAGTGAAAGCATCACTTTCTGGAGACACGATGTAGGCTTGAACTGCTAATGAAAATGATAATGAAAGAAGTGAGGAGTCCAAACCAAGGGTAAGTGGGATTTTCCTACGTTGTCAATCACCCACTGGTGGAAGTCACTGGTTCTTACTGGTTTATTTGTTTTCCTCAGTTTGAAAGAGGCCTGAATGACAGCACATAATAATCCCACTTCCCATTCTCTGGGTGGCGCTCACACGTACACACACACACACACACACACATATATATGTGCATGTACATATATATGTCTGTGAGTGTGTGTGTGTGTGTGTCTGTGAGTGTGTGTATCAATGAGAGTGTGTGTTTTGTGTATCTGTGGCCTTTGTCGGTTTGTGTGTGTGTGATGGGCGGGCATTATGTCCCCAAATGTCCCCACCATGTAATAAAACCTGTTATTTTGACATTGTGGAGACCATTTTTTCTGGCTTCACAAGGGGAAACTCAATTTTATAATAATCTGTGACTCCTATAAAATAAAAATGCTAAATGTCTCGTCGTCATGTTCGGATTAGAGTTTTCCCCATAGAAATGAATGGAGAGTCCCCACGAAGATGTCATTACAAACCTGTTTGTGTGTGTGTGTGTGTGTGTGCACACGCGTGGGTGTGTGTTTGTGTATGTGAGTGCTACATGATTGTGAATACTCACATGCTTTGTGGAACCTGTTTTTCAGTTCCAGAACAGTCGATGAAGGATGCACCTGCAAACAGGACAAGGCACAATGAGGTGACGATCTCCATTAATTGACATGTGGCTGGACCAGACCGATGCGTGACTTCCCAGCTTGTTCTGATCCGAGCCTCGGTAACACATCCGCTGGTCCAATCTGGCGCCCCAGGCAGCAAAGAAAAAAAGAAAAGTGTCCCTTCCTGTTACAGACTGCTGTCAGAGGGCAGAGTCGTCCTTCATTGGACTTGCAGACCCCTGCTGAGCACACAAGAACCTTCTAGAAACAGCCCCTTTGATATTCAGATTATGAAAAGCTCATCTTATTTCACCATATGAGCAGTGGGGCATCATTTGAATCTGAACCGTTAGCAGATGAAATAGTGCTGCAATCCGAGTTGCAGAAAAACTGTTCATATTTCAGGGCAGCAGTGTGGATTTAAATGTCACCCCTACCCTCCTGCACCTGGGGGGGAGGACACAGTGAACCTTATCTGATTTCCTGCCTCCAGACAGATGGCACCGCTATTGCCAAGTGGGCGTGGTAACAAAGCGCAGTTAGAGCACAAGCAGTTCAGCCCTACATCAGCATGGCAGCAGGGGGCGCCGGTGCAAGCTGCCCCATTGGCCCAGAGGCCCACCCCATCGAGGCCTTCCTGAGCCGGTCTGCTGGGGACTCCACCCGTCCATCCGTCATTCTGTCTCCCGCTTGGCCTTTGCCTGGCAGAACGGGCGTCTTCGACGCTCCTCTAAGAAAGCTACGGGGTTTCGGGGCGAAGCTGGGAGGATGAGGCCCATTCGCCGTGTGACGCCTGTGCGATCGCAGTCAGACCCCAGTGTCTCCGCACCGCCGCCACTGCTGGTAATGAGTCACCATCATCTGGATGCTAACCGCCGCCGCCGACTCCCGGAGTCACGTACCGCCGCTCTCAGCACCGTCTCCCGCGGCGTCCCGCCGTGGCCTCTGCAGCCGGCCGCCGTGTTTAGCCTTCCAGACGGCGCCGAGATAGCGCCGTCTCAGATGTTTACCCGTCGCAGCTTGCCGGCCAGCTCCTCGGGTCACGGATCCGAGTTTTTTTGGCTAGCGGGAACAGATGCTAGCTGCCCCCCCCCCCCCCCCCCACCCACCCCCAAAACACACACCGAGAAGGTGATCAATAGCTCGACCCCTACCCACAAGCCTTGGCGTCGCCATATGTCAGCGGGGTTCAGGCCCCGGGATTGGCGCGTGCCGAGATTCTGCCGCTGCTACGAGGCACTAAGTAACTCCGACATCTGCGCGCTACATATTACGTCCCAAGCCATTTTCCGGAGAACGGGACTTAGCAGCAGACGTGCATGTGGGGTGACAGCAGCATGTCGGCGGCATTTTATTTATTTATTTGTATGAAAATTGAAAATAATTTGCGAAAGCATTAATATTGGCTGCGCCTGAAAGACGCCACATATATCGACCATCTGGCTGAGCCCGCTCCTACTCACTTTCCCACATGGGGAATTAAACGCTGTCAGCGCCACCTCAGAACCCCCTCTCCCCCACCCCCACGCCACCCTAAAAGTCGGCATTGAACCTTTAATAGTTCCCTGCTAGTCGACGCCCCCTGCTGATGGGTTGGGGGAGGTCAACGCCGCACAGTCCAATTATGAACTAGTGCTATCTATAGCATGTCATGCCAGCTCACCCGAGCAATATGGGAGGATGTTACCTTCATAAAGACTCTCATTCCCATTATACAGGCAAGATCACAAGACCTCCTCTGCTGTCCATATTAATTAGGTAGTTATCCTTGTCAAAATTATATTGCAAACAAGATGTGTTAAGTTACCGTAGTAACGCTTTACTTAAGACCATGTTTTTAGTAATTTATGAACACATTCGTAATGCATTATAATGCATTCATAAAGCATTATAAACATAGATATAAATATTTATAAAATGGCATAGCCATGTTTTTAATGCATTATGACTGCCTTATGACATTGTCATGTATACTGCACTATAGATATCTTTATAATGCAATACAAAGCATCCTTAATGCTTATACCGACCATTATAATGCATTATAAAGGTATCTATAGTGCATTATAAATGATCCATTCATAATACACATACCTATAATGTGATATGCCTTTTTATAAATATTTATAGCCATGCTTTTTGAATGTATTATGAATGTGTTTATAAATTACTAAAAACATGGCCTTAAGGGAAGTGTTACTGTTTACCTGGAACAAAAGGTCACACTCTTTTTGGCTCAGCGACCTGAGCTTAGCTCCCCTCCACCCCATAGCTGGTCATCCTCCATCAGGCTGATGGGAGCGAGGTAAAAATGCCCATCAGCACAAAGCAGTAACCCTTCAAGTAGATAACTCATCAATGGCCGCCTGGCCACTGCGCGCTCAGCCGCACCTCCCTGTCATTAAACGCCCGATGGGAAGAGCGGAATGAAGAAAAACAGGCCTATCACTTCCCCGTCGCCACAGCCACGCGCTTGCTAATAAGCTGCCATCGTCATACGGGCCGTTTCCTCGCGTGTTACCCGGAACGACGGCCTGTGGGCGGAGACGGCAGGTCGATCTGTACATTAAGTATCTTAATTGGGAAAGAAAGCAGCAGTTCGCAGGCTCGTTAGCCAATAATGGGATGAACAGGAGAGTTGGGCTTGCAGTTGTGTTGCCATGGTGCATGGAAGATGATGGTATTAGAGGGAAATTAATAAATATAAAAGGCTTCTACAGACAAGGCTGGCTGACTTTTGACCTGAATAAAGCTGCCTTTCAGGACATCGGTCGGTGGTAGATAAGGTTTAGAAGCTCTTGGGAGTTTTACTCACACAAAAATGGTCTGAGGGCAGAACAAAAAAATGATTGGTTCAGAGAGATAACCAATCAGATTGTAGAGGAGGTTGGTCCAAGCAACTAGAGGAGGCAGGACCAACCAATCTGATATCTTGGTCCCACCACCTCTACAATTTGATTGGTTATCTCTCTGAAACAATCATTTTTCATTCTGCTCTGGTCCTTGAGGATCCACAGACAAGCCACGTTTTTGCTCCCTTCCAGCTCCCTAGCCTGCTGAGACCCAGCAATTCATTTTTGTCCTCTGAAAAGGATATTATGATTTTCCTCATATCTCTAATACTATACATGCCACTTCATTAAGTCCTTTTGTTTCTTAAACAGTCTCAGGGTCTTGTGAGGTTAAGGCCTGACTGTCATTGTTTGACCATTTGACTGATGTAGGGCTGGTCTCATGAGGAAGTTACATCACAGAACCTTAACTTTATTTTGACTTTGTCAAACAAAGGCGATGTTGATATCATAAGGAATGTTACAGGTTAGGGTGGAATGATGACTCAGTGGGTACTGCTGTCACCTCACACCTCAGAGATTGGGGGCTTTAGTCCCTCCCTCACTGCACGTGTGGAGTCTGCATGTTCTCCTTGATGCAAGTGTCCTGCGCTGCTTTGAATAGGCTCCAGCTACCCTGTACTGAATATGCAGCTGGAAGATGGATGGTTTGAGATTTTTATGCACCGAAGTTGCTGACGTACTTGTATTTATCATTTCAAACTTTTTTTCAACTCGATTCATAATATTCCCCTACTGTGTTTTTTTTCCCCCAGTTCAGAATGGATAATTACCCTAGATCTCGCAGTTCTCCCCAAAAGTATGTGCTGTCAATCACTCGGCTCTTTGCTGAGAGCTTCATCAAGCGAAGAGACACGCTTGGAGCAGAGCGTAGCTTGCTCAGATTCACCCACAGACCTGCAGGCACTGAGCAGTGGGTGTCACAGTGCCTGTGAGCCGGGGAATAGAGACCTAGGCTTCTGAGCTTCCCGACACAGAGCGAGAGAACGTACGTGCTCGAGGCTTCCCCACAGCCGTGCGCCATTGAGGCACAGTGGAGGAGGAGACTCTAGCCTTTGACTGGCGAGGCAGACAGACGGGCTTGAATTGGGTGTATTGATGAAGCTCGTATGAGGGCAGGTGCCTCTTAACACAAACAGGCATGAGAAGACACTTCACGGTAAATGTGAACCTGACCTTCAGACACCTGAGATGATGTTACCAACAGAGAGCTGGGATGATATGACCTTCAGGCACCAGAGATGATGTTACCTTCAGACACTGAATGACAAATGACAAATGACATCCCCTTCCATGACATCGCTCCCCCATACCCCTAAGCTTCAGGTGTTCACTGAGCTCCTACCCCCCACCTACCCTATATCTTAGCCTAGTGTGAGCTTGCTAATGACCCACATTATGCATACATTTTGGCATGATCCTGGACCTCATAGACCAGACGGGATACAGATACGACTGACTGGAGAATCGGCCCGGTACGGGCGTAAGCTGGAGAACGTCCTGGCAGCAGAAGGCTTTTTGCTTCATACATAAGGGATGTGGGACCATTTTTTTTCATATTGGGGAAAACAGAAATTCTTTCTCAAGCCCCAAGAGAAAAAGACATAAAGTCTCAGCGTAGAAAGGTATTCTGAAGGGATCTTCGGCAGAACAAGGGTTTGAAAAGGTCCTTTATACGATGCAAGACTCACCATTTTTCAAATGCTTTGTCAACTAAAAAGTAATAAGGGTCAGAGCAGACCTACATGCTGAACTCCATTTGATTGACTTCCCAGAATGAAGAATAAGTCGTCGTAAGACAAGAGATTCAGATTTCATTTCCCTCTCACCATGGGACATAATACCTTCTCGGACCTGGTTTTATTCCAATAAATGGAGGAACACGAACCACCGGCTAGCTTCAGCCACAGACAATACGATGTGCTATATTAAAAGCTAAACATGTAATTCCTGGGCATTCCCCAGTGAAACCACAAGCCAATGAAAGATCACGGTGACCAATGGAAGGACAGCACCCGCCCCCCGCCCCCCCCACCACACACCTTAAGCATTATACATCACGACACTGTTAGTATGCACCACATCTTTTAATACCCCACTGTGCAGAGAGCGAGAAGCGTATTTGTTTATTTATTTATTTTTTTCGGTTGTTAGTTTTTTTTTCTTTTTTCCTCCCTGTTGTCATTGCTCCTGTGTCGCAAGTGTCTCCGTGGCTCTGTGGAAAATGCCGGAACGAAGCGCTTGATGAATCACCGCGGCCCACGAGCCCCGTCCAGCAGAGAGGCAAACATTAATTATCAGGACATCGCTGACTCCACTGCGTTCGCACACACACACACACACACACACACACACCCAATCGAGGTCTCTCGATTTTACCTCTACACACACAGACACACAAAAAGGCCACAGATACACAAAACACGCACACTCATTCATACACACACTCACAGTCCTTGACACGCAAATACATGCATACATACAACTTACACTCCCTCCCACCCACAACAAATACTCATTTGTATTCTTATCTTAACATTTCTCTGTTCTGACCCCTGACCTCACTACATCCCCCACGGCCGTTGCCATGGAAGTCGTCCGCTAATCGTGTGTAATGGGCCGGTGATTTGACCCACGATGGACCTGACTGCCTGGCACCTCACAGTCGCTGAGAATCATTGGCTAATCAGGTCTAAAGTTCAGCGTTTTGATCTGCAAGCTGACCGCCTGCTCACTGGATGGTTCCTTTGGGCAGTGGTGGTCTGGGAGGGGGGGGGGATACACTGGGATTTCACTCAGGCCCCAGGCAATCATAACTGACCCCTTTGCTCCTAATAATACTCATAACAGTGGTTGTGAAGGGCACAGTTGAGACGTGACACAACGAGGTCACCAGGTCCATGACTCAGGCTCATTGCGCATGGAAACGCAGACACTGCCACTGTCCCATGGCAAACATGCACCATGAAAAATCACATTTTCTCAGAAACTACTTTACAACATAAACCTAAAACAACATAATGAGACACTTTTAGCACCACAAATAGAAGCCTGTCTTCACATAGCCGTCAGTAAATGGTTTAATGTGGGGTTACCCATTTCCAGTCCTGGGGGGGCTAGAATCCAACACAATTTGCAGATTTGCCTGCTCAACACACACCTTAATCAGCTAATTAGCAGATTTAGCAGGTGTGTTTGAGCAAACTGTGCTGGATTCTGACCCCCTCAGGACTGGAGCTGGGGAACCATGTGTTTTAAAATTAAAATGAATTTAAGTGGATTGTTCTCAGTGAGGCAAATACACCAGTGTAGGGAGAACAGGTAATGCAAGTCAGGGATGACACTGTGAGCTACGACAGGATCTGTAAACTGCCAGTTCAATTAAAAGCACCCGGATTTCACTTAAGCACCAACTTTTTGCTGTGTGCTGATTGGTCAGTATCCTATATTCATGCAAGTCTCACAATGTTAATGTGAAACAGCTGGATGAGTCTTTCAATCAAGGAAACAAATCACAAGAATAGCTAATTAGCCAAATACATGAGCCTTTCAGTTTTAATAAAGTAGATTTTGAAACCTGAAGTAGCTCAAAGTGTTCTCCTGACATGGTCAATGTCGACAAGATACAAACTAATCTTGCTTTATATTCACAATTAATATTTATGCTAGTTAGCTAGCTATCAAGCTATCAAGTTTAAGTCGTTAAAATAAGCAATTTAAAATGATCGTTATGAATGCAAATGTTAACTAGTACAAACATAAATATCAGTGATATAGATGACTGCATAAAACATATTTTCATTGGTCACTAAGATGTCAAACACTATCAGTAGACAGAGGAAAATGGGTGTTTTCCATATATAGTGAAATGTCAAAAAAAAATTGTAAAAAAGTGAACATGTGAACACGGTTTTCATCAGGCAGTGACAATATATATCATCACGTTATTCAGTTGTTCGTCTGGCTGAAATTGTGTAGAACGGAGATCTGATAATTTTGCACCTCTCAAAGCCGCCCTGCTGGCCTGTTGGTCTGAGGACCTCTAATGAAAGGTTCCTCTTCCAGAAACAAATGGTGTGAAAGCAGAGTCAAGGAGCACTACATATAGCCATCTACTGTGCTCCCATATTAGGGGGCTGTGCTTTGTGTGTGTGTGTGTGTGTGTGTGTGTGTGGCTTCCAGGGGCAGTGAGAGTTCACACCTCACTATCAAAAAATGCTAAGATAAGCATGACAAGCACGTCCTTGGAAACCGGCGACGTTGAAGATCGAGGGTTTCTGAGGCAACAAAAAAAGTATATCAGCACAAAAATTATGCACAGCTTTGTAACGCAACTTCAATTCCCCGGGGTCCTTCTAGAAGAGGCATCTGCCCTTTGAGAAACTCCATACTAAAGAAAAAAAACAGAAATAGAAGTAGTAGAGAATTCTGGGGGGGGGGGGGAAACCTACATACAGGAATCGGTAGAAATCCTGAAACACGTTCACGATTTGTCGGTAATTAAACGTAACCCCTGAGAATCTCACAGCATTGGCCAGTCATGAAACCCACGACGACCTGGTGTAAATTCCTTAATGAAGCTTGAAGGGTCACTAGCATGGATGCTGCGGCAGAAGTGCTGCGTTTGCCCTCGGCCAGCATCCCGAGGATGGACCACGAAGCACTAGAATGGGCTGAACAGCTTTTGAGAGGCAGCTGATTAAACTCGAGCCGTGGAATTAACAGACAGGAAGTCAGAAGGAACCCCCCCCCCCAGGTCTGAGACTCACTCCCCATCACTACCTTCACCCTCTCCTCAGAGACACTACCATCGACAGCAGAACCACCTGTGGCTACTCCAGTGTTACAGTAGGGTGAGCAGTAGTTAGGGCACCGTGTTTATGACCTAAAGTTAACATACTAAAAACAAAGCAGCGGGCCTCCGCCCTACCTTGTCGATGACGTAGATGAGTCGTCCCGTGCGTTGGTCCAGAACCTCCACCTCCATGTAGCTGGGTCGGTGCCTGTGGGCCAGCGGCTGTCCCAACACAAACTGGGGGAAACCATAGAAGGAGCGGGGCAAGGCCCGGCCTGTGGAGAACATCCTGATGCTAGTCTGAGCGGCAGTGTGCGGATCGCTGGGCCGTGTGGAGAAGGGCGCCGGCTCTTAAATAGATCTGCCGGGGCCCCGTGAGTTTTGGGACGTGGCGCGACATGCCAAACGGAGAGCGCAAACTTAGATAACAAAAGAGAGAACAATAGATAGCTAATCACAGGCTATATTTACCCGGGGTGGCAAAATGTCTGCTTTTTGTTCCTGGATCCGTTCGTTCGGCCTTGTTGTGGGTCAAGCTTATCTTGTTTTCCTTTTCATACTGGGGAGGGTGGGGGGGGTGAGAGAGGGTGTACCATCCCTACCATCCCTGCCTGGGGCCTCAAGCATTCAGTCTGACCCTCAAGCAACATGAAACAATGAATTATCAAAGCAATTTCATTGGCCGTGTGACACCCAGACTGCAAAGATTAAGGCCAAGGAGAACTATCAAGAAGACACAAGTTTCGATGAGGCTTTGGGCTGCAGTCATGCCATGTCCTGGCTGTTTATTTAACTTTCTTCCGATGAGTTCCAGCCTGCAAACATCATACGCGGTCAGATCGATACATATCTGCTGCGTAAAAGTCCAGTTTAATCTCTTACATATCACAGCGTCGCCAAAATAGACCCACTGATACCAGCCGACCAGTCAGCCCCGCCGTGTGGCGAGAGAGAATACAGTGCAGATGCTGACGGATCGCTGGCGGCAGCTGGAACGACGGCTAATGGGGTCAGCATGGAGGTGGCAGCATCGACAGCTGGGGTCCCTCTGAGTTTCCGCAAGCGATTCAGGTAACCAGCCTCGGAATCGATATCGGCATGTGAAATTCCAGAACGCCGGACGACGCGTGGTCACATCATCGTGACCGACTTAAGTGTCCCCGCCGCACGTTCTGCGTGCCGTCCAATCAGACCCAGCAGCCAGTAGCTGCGAAAACACGACGCTGTGATGGACAAGCCCGGGCAGCCATGATGGGTCACACAGCCAGCCAGCTTGTTTTTTAATAATGAGAACTGAACTGGGGGATTCGGGTCATTGAGTTCTAATCCAGAGCAATGACTGCTGAGAAACGGGTGGGGGTGTCGGCGGTATCACCCAGCCTGCGGCACACAAACAGCACCTCCCAAAACTACTTGGTTCTTATTAGCTCCAGCTTTCTAGTTATTTTTTATTAAGACTTATTAAGATTTTTTTCCTGACATTAAGCTTAGCTGGTTCCTGGTAAACGTCTGCAAAACAGCTGCTTACGTATGTATTAATTAACCACAAACTAAATCTTACATACTGATCTCATGTTAATACATCATTAATAAATCATGACACAATTTTTTTTCTCAAGCAGCCACTGTATTTGTTACTGTTAATCCTTTTAACCTTTGTGAACTTTTGAAGGAACTACTAGAGGAACCAGTCATGAGTAACACAAGTGAAATACTGATCTCATGTTTGTTCATTAATGAATTGTCATGCATCTTTTATCTCAAGTCGACTATATATGTTCATGATTTGTACTTCAGTAGTAACTTACTAAGTATTTGTGCCCTGGAGTAAAATGTTATGGCTGAATTACTTATTTTCATCTGCGACATGTTCTTTGGTCAAGTACAGTTCCTGAAAGTTGTGGGGAACCTTAAATTTCTTGTTCAGATCAGCACAATGACCTACTATAGTACATCCGACAGGTGGTTTACAGTGTAGTGTTATTAACTGAAGAGAGAAATTTGTGTCCCTCCAAAGAGTCTTGGAACATTGCGGAATGGAAATTTCCCATTACAGAACCAACATGGACATTTTATGCTGGCTCAGTAGGTATTACTACCACTCCACAGTACCAAGGATGGGGTGATGAATCCTTACCCTTATCTGTGTGTGTGTGTGCGTGTGTGTGTGTGTGCGTGTGTGTGTGTGTGTGTGTGTGTGTGTGAGTGTGGGAGTTTGAATGTCCTCCAGTGTCTGAGTTTCTTCTTACACACCAAAATCGTGCAGCTCTGCATCTCTGAATTAACCACAGATGACGTAAGTATCTGTTGCATATGGAAACCATGTTCCCTCCTTGAGAAAATAGCATTCAAGGAGAATCTTTTAAATGAATGAAAGAAGACTCTAAACACTTTGCGCCCCGTCCTGTGCTAACCAGCTCTGGCTCGGAGCAATGACACAAGTTGCTGTACGGGCAGTAAATTCACTTTCTTTACTTGACTGCAAAACATCTCCTTTCCGTGTAGGAGTGACACAGACATAACAAGATCATATCCAGCAGCAAGGGAGCAGATGTTGCTCAGCACGGCATGATCGTGATGGATGTGCCATGTCTGACAAAATGCAAGAATCATTTGCCACATGGTGTCAGCATAACAACTCGCATTACTGGCAGACAGCTGTTGCCACCGTATCCCGGTAATTGGGCTCTGAGTTTTCCCCTGCTTATGTCATACAGAGGAGGAACAACCAATTAGAGTGACTTACAGTGTGTGCAGCACCTTGAAGTGCCAACCCCCTGCCGCCACATCATGCAGAATTCAATGTTCCAACCTGCCTCCTGCCGCCACATTTAGATGTGTACCATTTGTCTGTTATGTTGCTATAGTTAATTTTTAATATAAACCTACACGTGTGTTTAAGATTGTAAGCTGCGTACCTTCGGGAGTTTTGTATTACTGTTTCTTTGCTAGTAGATGCTGAAGACGACTTTGAAGTAGAATTTGGGATAGTTTACGTTCTGAGTCATTCATTAGTGGTTTGGATTAGAATTTTATGATGTACGTTACTGGTAGTAATGCAAACTAGTTCAGCACCCAAAATCCAATGTGAAACGAGGTCTGCTGGCTTCAGAAGGAATTTACAGTACAGCAATGATTATGAGTAGCCTATAGTCAGTACACCCCTTATTCTTAAAACGCTTACGGATTGTGTGATTTATTATCTTTGTCTCGTGTTTTATTACACTTATTTTTGCTGGTCTGTAAAAAGCTTTTAATAATACCGTAAGCAAATAGAAAAGTTCGGCCGTTATAACACAAATCATACAGCAGGCGGCAGCAAAACCGCGTTTTTCTGCGCTCCAAATACCATTCTTTTTAGACTCACGTAATCAAATATCGCCACTTCGTTCATGGCCTGTGTTTGGCGTATTAATCGATTGTCGATGGTAGGATTCAGTGAAGATGGCGGACACAAATGCAAAACAAATGGCACAAAAAAGGTATTGTAATAATGAAGCATGTTATTTTTATACTTGTACATGTTAAAACGTACTTCAGATAAGTGATTGTTTTGTTATGATGATGTGCTTGTTTATACATTTATGGTTATGGATAGGAAATCACCAGGCAACACCCAAAAAAAGCTCAACATAATTGATAGGCCGGTCGTGTTATCATTACAGTGAATTAATTATTTTAGTAATTTAGTTATATGTTGTCTCAACGATGTGACATGACAGCGTAATATAAGGTCTTGTTGGTTTTAAAGTTCGATTCTTTTTTTGTCTTGTTTAAGTGCGAAAATTGCAGCAGGAGCCGTAGTTTGTGTTGAAAGCGAGATAAAGGGAGATGTCACCATAGGTAAGACGTCTTACGATTACCTCATCCTGGCTGCGAAGCTCGTCATTATTGTTTGCTTATTTTTTGGTTTGCGAACACGGTCGTGGTGTCGCGGTGACTGGGGGCAAACTGCCCTCTGTATGGAGTTGCTTGTTCCCTCCGTGTTGCGTGGGTTTCCCCAGTAATCCAAACACGTGCATTTAGGTGAATTGTTGTCCCTACATTGTTAGTAATCTGTGCTTGTATGTGTGTGTGCATGCATGCCGTGCGTTAGCAGACATCCCATCTCAGCGATATTGATTTCAGGGATGCAGATTAGGGGCATCCGGTAGGGCGGGGATGCTGGCCAATGCGTGGCTGGTATTACGGTAATACCGTATATATATTACCGACGGGGGGGGGAATTTGCTGACCGCGGCTAGAAAGCGGTGGTAAATTTTGGGGCGGGGTTGCAGCGGTACAACTTCTTGCTGGCTAATTTTACCACCGCTGAATTTCCGGGACATTTGCGGGTGTCAGGGAGATGCTGTCATTTTGCGGGAGACTCCTGGGACTTAAGGGTGATTTGGGATGTCTGCATTGGATTAGAATATAGCATCCGGTCCACACTCCTTAAAGCGTAAAGTTCCCCCGTGACCCTGGATAAGTACTCGAAAAATGAATGGATGAATGGACACAGTTGTGTAATAGTTTATGTTTAGGAGTGTTTATCAGCTACTTCTTACTACGGAAACATGAAGCCATTGTCTTGTGGTTGAATCCTTCAGGCCCCCGAACAGTGGTTCACCCCAAAGCTCGCATTATCGCAGAAGCAGGACCGATCATCATCGGTGAAGGGAACCTCATAGAAGAGCAGGCCCTCATCATCAACTGGTGAGTCTGTTTCAGCCGCCTTCCGATGACTTATCCGCAGAGCCGGCCCGACTGATACAGGTCTTTCGTGTTTTCCCAGCTATCCTGAAAACATAATGCCCGACACAGAAGGTGTGGAGCCCAAGACGATGACCATTGGAACAAACAATGTGTTCGAGGTCGGCTGCGGTATCCTTGCATGGCCTGAGATGGCGCTAGAGTCATGTGGTTGGAAAGAATAAGAGGGAAACACAGTGTAACATTAATAGAAGACTATAGATACTCTACCAGAGGAGTTTAGCATAATAGTAAAAACATGGCTCAGTGAGCTAAGCTTTTGTGTCTGTGATCGGAAGGTCGCCGGTTCAAGCCCAGCCTCAGCATGTCTGCGGGTCCTTGAGCACAACTCTTAACCCCCAGCTCCCTGGGTGCTGCTATGGGTGGCTGCCCTTTGCTACCAATCTTGCTGTCACCTATGGAGAGCGTGATGGGGGAGGCGAAAAGAGAATTTCCACATAGGGATCAATAAAGTATTACCATTTCATTTCATTTCATTTCAAAAGCTTCTGGAAAGTTTCATCTTTAACTGACATCGCCAGTGTCTCAAGCTTTGAAGATTGGGGACAACAATGTAATTGAGTCCAAAGGTAAGATGACCGTTTACTGCA